AGAGAGAGGATGAGAGAGTGAGAGAGAGAGGAGGAGAGAGAAGAGAGATGAGGAAGAGAGAGAGAGTAGAGAGGATGAGAGATAAGAGTAGAAAAAGAGAGAGAGAGAGAGAGAGAGGAGGAGAGAGGAGAAAGAGAGAGAGAGAGAGAGAGAGAGAGAGAGAGAGAGAGAGAGAGAGAGAGAGAGAGAGAGAGAGAGAGAGAGAGAGAGAGAATATATTTCGATCAACGTACATCTGCATACATATTCCTACATTTTGAATATGAAAGTAACTTCATTTACTCTCTCTGAAGAGGATCAATACCCTACAAACACCGAAAGGGTATGGCATCCTTATAGGCAAAATAATCAAATATTGCTTTAGGTTATATACATCTATTTCATAACATAGTACAGTTCTAAAAAAAAAATGCACTGTAATTATTTTACATATGTAGGGAATGCTGCTCCTGCCATGGCTTATTGGTAAGCATAATATACAATTAAGTATGACTGCTATTTTCACTATGGTATATTTACTCATTTCTTACTCATGTATTTAGTTTGTATATAAAGCAAGACATTGATTAGTGACTGTCTATTATCAAATTCACACACACACACACACACACACACACACACACACACACACACACACACACACACACACACACACACACACACACACACACACACACACACACACACACACACACACACACACACACACACACACACGCACACACACACACACACACACACACGTATGTAGGCTACATCCGTTACCCACAAAATCTTTCATTTACCTATTTTCATCTTTAAACATTACTCTACTATATAATTTTGCATTTATCTTATGCTTTCAATAATGGAGAGAATAGATCAAGTTAAAAAAAATAGTTTTTAATCTTTCTTCAACAGTAAGGGTCTAACGTAGTAATTCTCAAACAAGTGGTAAAAAAATATAATCTGACTGATGTATTATCAGTGAAAGAATAAAACTACAAGTACATTTGCAATCTGGTGTTTTTTATATTAAAACAATTAAATGAAATTAAGGAGTATGCTTTGTTCATAACTTGATATTGAGCGTTGCATAATAAGGTATTGGAATAACAAGGAATAAAATTTTGTGTTGGTGTTCTTAGATCAACTATGTAAACTTATGTTTTTGCATAATAAACTTTACTGAAAAATTACTGATGATAATGAATAAAATTTTACATTGGGGTAGTCTGAATGTCAGATTTTAAATTGGATATAAATTTGAAAAAATAACCTGTCAGACTTTACATTGTGATAAAACTTTTAAAAAATGAGAACCAATGGTTTAATTCCTCGGTGTTGCTTTGATTAACACAGGGTCGGCTGGGTTGATGGCCACAGTAGGGACTTCAAATCTGAGAGGGTTAGGAGTCTCCTTACAGGACTCAAGTCTGTAGAAAAAGAGAATAACACAGATGTGCTATAGATACTTGAAAGTTACAATAATGGTAAACAATAATATAAGTGAGAATATATCATCATAAATAAAGTATAGCAAGAAGATAAGACTACACATCAAGTATAACAGTTGAAGGTGTGTTGAATATTTTACCTGTTTTGGGATCATAGACTTTTCTTTGACAAAAAAATACGGTAATAAAGTTAATACGCAAACTATTTTCAACACATTCACAAACATTGAAGCCAAATTTAACCTTATTCAGATTTTAAAGTGAGTAGGCAAGGTAATACCATGAAACATAACAGTGCCGCACCTGTAATTCAGCAATATTCTTGCTAGCGTTAATTTGGCCTCCAGCTGGGCGAATCTCATACCAACACAGTTTCTTGGACCAGCTCCGAAGGGTATATAAGACATAGGGTGTCTTGTGTTGTTTGCCTTGGCTTCCGGAGAAAATCTGCAAGGACAAAAGGTGATAAATAGGCATGGTAAACAAAAGGAAAATCCTAAGTGGTATTACTTCATGAAATAGAAAATTATTATCAACATACCTAGGTCAATCTATCTGTGAAGTTATCAGTATCTAATTTCCCTTGTTAAAGTAGGAAAGAAGCAATGGACATGTTTTCAGTAGCATTCTTAGACCCTAAGGGGCCCCCGGAGGCTATAGGTACCTTGTGGGGCCCCCTATTATATTTTCATGTTTAAGAAATAAATGGATGATAAAATGAAAACATTTGTTTACTGGAACTTGAATTCATATTTACTTTTGCCCGTAAAAATCATCTAAAATTTAAAATTAGAAAAAAATAAATGCAAACCTCTTGCTGATAAATATTATAGGCAACATTAACGGGAAAATATATCTACAGTATATCAATTAATTTTATCTATCAATCTGCTTTCGATTCTTTCATCAGCCGTCATCCTGGGGGACCCTCTCCAATGGTGACCCCGTGGCGATAAAACAATTGACCCGTCCTCTTCCCCAGCCCCTTCACCCTTAACTCGGTCACTGCACATGGTTATCTATGGAGATTTCCCTGCCACAGAAAAGGGGGGGTTGCTACTCTTACCTCTCGGGGTCGAATTTCTCTGGGTCAGGCCACTGCTCGGGGTCTCGCTGGAGGAGCCAAATGGGCACGAGCACAGCCATGTCCTTCGGGATGACGACGTCGCCAATCTGAAATGTGGGTTATTTTTCACTGCCGGACTATGGGGATGAAGGTCGATTTCTTTATGGGTAATGATAATTTGGTTGCAAAAATGCATGCCCCTCCACACTGGAGAGAGAGAGAGAGAGAGAGAGAGAGAGAGAGAGAGAGAGAGAGAGAGAGAGAGAGAGAGAGAGAGAGAGAGAGAGAGAGAGAGAGAGAGAGAGAGAGAGAGAGAGAGAGAGAGAGAGAGAGAGAGAGAGAGAGAGAGAGAGAGAGAGAATTTCTCACTAAAAGAAGCCAGTGATAATTTATTACGAAACTATTCCCCTCGTCTTTAAACCCCAATGAAAATAATAATCCTAATAATACAATAAAGCAACAGTAATAATAATAATAAAAATAAATAAATACATAAAACAAAAATAACAATAACAATAAAGACGGTAATAATGATTATTCAAAAAGGCCCCGCACCTGCATGTCCTCAGCCGCCTCCCTTGTAATGAAGGTGACAACGGGCGGGTGTAGTCTCAAGGCCTCGGAAAACACTTGGTCCAGATAGGTGAGCTTGTGCACTTGTTCGTACGTCAGATTGATGTTTGGATCCTGTTATGAAAGAAAAGTTAGTTTTTAAATATTATATACATTTACTATTATTTTCTCTATTTGTCAGGTTTGGAAAATATTGAATCGAACGCTTCATTTCGGTGTTTAAATGCACAGTAAGATAACAGTTGCTATTAACTGATGCTTTATGCTATCTCACGATAAGAAAATAAAATATGGCCTATCAACAGCGCATCTAGAAATAACCCTGTGGAATGAATGATTGATTTAAATGTACCCTGTTGTACATATGGTTTACATTACATCATTTTCGACAATAAAGTACCCATAAAACGTCTTGTTGGGTTTCTTAACCTAATTAACGTTCACAGATAACGTAAACTGTGATTACGAAATTCGAGTATCTGCTACGGGTGATGGTGTTACAACATCCATAATGTATTGAGTAATTTTATCGCTATATTATCACAAAGCTTCGATGAGAGATTTGGATGTACAGATTTCACATGTCCAATTATATTACAGTATCAGCCATCCGTGAACCAACATATTGATAAATATTTGTTCCGACTAAGAGAAAACATATCAGAAATTACTGGTAAAGGTAAATGTAGTATTAAATTATACCAAACTGGTAGAAAAACGGTGACATATATAACAGAAATGGAGAATACACTGCAAGCAACTACATCCAGCCCCACTATATGTACGGGTACTTATCAGTTAGATAACTTCTATTACTGTAACTATGGGCCACTGAAATTCCTACAAAAGCACACTAGGTTAATCGTATGCTCTTTAGTATCTTATGGTTGTGTTCACCTTGCAAACCTGTTGTACCATTAAACATGAACTTGTATGGTTGAAAGCGATCTTGTTTCGGGCCATTTTTTTTTTTAATAATAATAAATACATATACATATATAAGTATACATATATACTTATTAAGTAATAAATACAATAACTTACGTGTATTTCTATATATAATCAATTTTCTTTAGCAGTTGTTATTATGATCATTATCAGTATTCGTTTTTAATAATAAACACATACATATTAATCGAACCGCGGGGAATTTGCATGCAAGTAAGAAATATGCAAATCACTTCAAGCAAGGTATCGTAACACTGATCTGAATTTATTATTATTCTCATATTTCCTTTACACCCGTATTAATGTTTCTTTGTACAACACGAATGATACTAGTTGCATTCTTTTAAAATGACACACATACACACACCTACATAATAAGTGTGGATGTGGATGTGGTATGGCGTGCGTGTACATGTGCGTGCGTGTGTATATATACATATATGTATGTAGGTATGTATGAATTGGTGTGTGTGTGTAGGTGCGTGTGTCCGTGTGGGTATATACATGTTTTATATGATATATTTATATTATCTATCTATCTATCTATCTATATATTATATATATATATATATCTATATATATATATATATATTATATATATTATATATAATAATAAACAATAATTTACCTTGATCACGTCTAGGAGTTCTTGGTAGACCTTG